GGTTCGGGGTGGTTTATATACAGAATAACAGATACCCGGGAGGGAGTGACAGACTGGAATCTAATCGAGGGGTTGAGGGTGGTTTATATACAAAATAACAGATGGCCGGGCATGAGTTACATACTGGAATCTAATCATGACGTTTAGGAGTTTTCTGTACAGGTATTTCTGCTATAATGCGTGTTTCTTTAACGCAACTTGGCTGTAACGCGATTGATGAATAGTGGCCGCTGTTTGGATAACACGAACTTTGTGCTGTGCAGGTGTAGTGATGTTCCCTGTAACGCGATTTTCTATAGCGCGAGGTCATGCAAGGACGCAGCTACCGCGTTATCGGTGAACTACCTGTATTGAATATCAGATACCATTGATCGGGTTTCAGACTGGAATGTAATTAAGACATTCAAGGTAGTTTATATATAGAATAAGAGATAGCCGGGAGTGAATTTCAGACTGGAATTTAATTGAGGGATATTGTTTAGTTTGATAGTTTTATGTAGAATAAGAGATACCTGGTAGTGAGTTACAGACCGGAATCTAATCAAAGGGTATGGGATAGTTTCATAGTTTATGTCTATGAGTAGATACCCAGAAGTGAGTTACAGTCTGGAATCTGATCAAAGGGGTTGGGCGGTAAATATATAGAATAGAGGTAACTGGGATTGAGGTACAGATTAGGAACTGACGAACGTATTCAGGATATATATATATATAGAAAAACAGATATATTGTAAAGAGTAACAGACTGGAATCTGATCGAAGGGCTCAGAGTTGTTTATATGTCTAAAAACAGATATCTGGGAATGTGTTACAGATTGTAATCTGATCAAGAGATTCGGTTGTTTTCTGTATAGAACAACATTCCCAGATGTTGGTTGCAGACTGAAAACTAATCATGAGGTTTAGGAGGGTTATGTATAGAATAACAGATACCATTGATTGAGTCAGAGACTGGAATCTAATCAAAGGGTTCGGGTTGATTTTATATGGAATAATAGCTATCCAGGAGCGAGTTATAGCCTGGAATCTAATCGAAGGGTTCTGGCATTTTTATATTTCAAGTTAACAGATACCTGACGTTTTCCCAGCCACCATCAGTTCTGAGCAAGGGTCACCGGACCCGAAACGTTAACTTTGTTTTTCCTTCACAGATGCTGCCAGATCTGCCGAGCTTTTCCAGCAACTTTGTTTTTGAACACATGCCTGGGTATGAGTTGCAGGCTGGCATCTAATCGAGTGGTTCAGAGGATTTGCCGATAAAATAACAGAATAACAACTTTGTTTTTGTTTCTGATTTACAGCATCCGCAGTTCTTTCGGTTTTTATTAAAGACGTCTAGTGTTTTGTATTAATTGCTGTGAGTGTGTTACAAATATAAATCTATTGGTGGGGCTCAGGGTGGTTTATACAAAAAAAAACATCCTGGGTGCGTTTCACACTGGAATCTAATCGGGAATTCATGATGGTTTTATTAGAGACGAACAGGCAATCAGGAGTGTGTTACGCACTGAAAACTAATTTGGGTGATCTGGGTGATATATGTATGAATTACAGATACACAGGATTGAGATATACACTGGAATATAATCGGGTAGTTAGGGTGGTTTATATACAGAATAACAGATACTCAGGAGTGATGTACAGACTGGGATCTAATCTAGAGGTTCAGGGTGGTTTATAAATGGAATAACAGATGTGTGGGTGTGAATTAGAGACTGGAATCTAATTGAGAGGTTGAGGAGGTTTTAAATGGAAAAAAATACAAGAAATCGAGTGACAGCGTGGAATCAAATCGAGGCATTGAAAATGATTTATACACAGAATAAGCGATACCCGATAGTAAGTTCCGGATTGGAATCTAATCAAAGGGTTGGGGCAGTTAATACATATATATAATAACAGTCTGAATTACAGATTGGGAACTAATGAAGGCATTTGGGTGGTTTATTTACAGAATAACAGATGCTGAGGAGTGAGTTACAGACTGGAATACACTCAAGAGATTTGGCTGGTTGATATATAGAATAACATACACTTGGGGTGATTTACAAATGGAATTAAATGAAGGGTGTTCAAATAGTTTGCACTGTGTATACAGTCATAGACACTCCGGGAGTGAGTTATATCCTAGAATCTAATTGAGGGATTCGGGGTGACTTATATATAGATCAGATAACTGAGTGAATTACGGACGGGAACCTAACTGAGAGGCTCTGAGAGAGTTGCTTTATAGCTAGAATACAGATTCCCGGGAGTAGATTACATTCTGGCATCTAATCAAGGGGTTCAGGGCAACTTATATGTGGAACAACAGGCACCTGAGTGTGAGTTACAGACTGGAATCCAGTTGAGTAGTCTAGCTGATTGATATATAGAATAAGAGATAGCCAGGAGTGAGTTATAGGAGTGGAATCTAATCAAGGGGTTTGAGGTGGTTCGTATATAGAATAATACATTCCTGGATGTGAGTGGAAGACTGGTATCTAATCGTGATGTTTGGAAGGTTTATACAACAACATACCTGGGAGTGAATTACAGACTAGAACCTAATTAAGGGAATCAAGCTAGTTTACACGTACAATGACAGATACACAGGATTGAGTGAGAGATTGGAATCTAATCAAGGGATTTGGGGTGGTTAGCAGATATCCGGCAGTGTGTTATTCTATATGTTAACCATCCCAAACCCCTCGATATATTCCAATCTGTAAATCATTCCAGATATCTGTCATTCAGTATCTAATCCCTGGTTCCCCTCATAATTCCTTTCTCCTCTCAATAAGTGGTCGCTTTCCCCCATTACCCTCCAGGCAATCCCCTCCAAATTCACGTTCCCTCCCTTAACCACCTTCAATCCCTACTCAAGCCTTACCCTTCGTACCACCCGGAAACACCTCCATAACTGAGCTCAGTCTTCTATTATCCTCTACAGTCCACCACATCCATCTCTGCATGCCTCTGTCAGCAACAACTTCCAAACCCCTCTTATGCTACCCCTATGGGTCACCCTGACTTGCTACATGCACCCATCAATTCAACTTGTTCCATCTACCACTCATAGCACGTCCCTCATACTCCACCTTAAAACCCTCACCAATCACCCTATTCATGGTTTCTCTAGCATCCTACCCATATTGCCTCACTCCCCATTCACCACACTCACAATTCATCCCTCTCCCATTGCCCACAATCTCACTTTATATGTTACCACATGCTCCCTTTGCCTGTGCAAGCATAGTAAACAGCTTCAGCTCCATCTGCCCTGTATTGACAGCAAGCAGAAAGCACAAATCTCGTGCTTTGGGGAATAATCAGCAGCTCATAAATCTGTCAAACTAAGAAAACAGACCTTCACCAGCCACATAAGAAAGCATGCTGTTCTTAACATCATATATAGCTGTCAAATTAAGAAAATGAACCTTGAACGCTGACACAAAATAGCATACTGCTGTGGACAGCTCATAAATCTATGAGATGAAGCAGACAAATGTTCCACACCTGCTTAAGATCATATGCTGTTCTTAACAACTCATGAATCTGTCAACCAAGCAAACAGGTACTCAACACCCAATTAAGACAGTACACTGCTCTTTGAAGCTCATAAATGTGACAAATTAAGCATGTTAAAACCTACTTTAGATTGCATACTGTTTTTACCAGGTCTCAAATCTTGCAAATCAAGTAAACAGACCTCCAACACCCACTTAAGTCAGCATTCTGCTTTTACCAGCTCATAAGTTTGTCAACATCATCTCACATTGTCCTTGTTGCTGTGCCAACAACTCCTGCTGAGCAGAAGAGATTATTGGCTTTTGGTTCTTAGCCAAGGATTTGCACTTTCATTGAGATCCCTGGTGGTGAACATGTCTCTCATCTTTCAAGTTAACTGCTTCATTTTCCTCTTGCAGATCTGATGTCGTAGCTGCCACCGATGCCATGATGCCAGCTGGACATTTGAAACCAGGGTATTTCCTCCTCCCCCTCTGCCTCCTTTTCCTGGACGCCCTGGGTGCCTGCATCACTGGTAGTGCCAGAGACTGTAGCAACGTCAGCTTTGTGCCAGGGGCACGGCTGGCAGGGGAGGGCTACAACATGGTGACCCTGCAGCCCAAGGGGGTGTTTGTGATTGACATGAACACCTGACACTTCGCCAATGGGAACTGCACCCTCTGTGACGAGCTGCTTGGCAATGTGTGCCAGCAGCTGCCCACCTCGCTGGTGGACTGGCGCACCATGAGCTCCTGCCAGCACTCACTCACTGGCTGGCTCTACTGTTCAGTTGACAAGCTGCCAAAGTCAGCCACCTCTGCCATCACCAATGACTGGCAGGCAGACCTGCACCTCCAAACCAAGTCAGGCAACTGAACCAAACTGGTGCTGGCCGGCTCCAAGTCTAAGCTAGTGAGTTTTGGCACCTCCCGCTCCAAGAGCGACCACTACAGTTTCACTAGGAACCAGTTCCAGTGCCGCTACTACCAGTATCGGGTGAAGGACAAGTCCCTCCTGGCACCTGAGTGTGCCCGCTCCCTCTCCAGCCTCCCTACCGTCATGAATGATGCCAGCAAGCACCGTTACCAGCAGCTAGTGGCCACCTACGGCACCCACTACTTCACCTCAGTGGAGCTGGGCAGGAAATTCAAGGACGTGACGGCTATTTGCACATGCCAGGCAGCATCTGAAGGCTACACCATTGAGGATGTGAAGGACTGCCTGTCAATAGAGGCCAGCGTCACAGTGGGCCTGAAGACAAAGGCCTCGCCAAGGTACCAGAACTGGGCGCACGCCACAAAGCACAACAGCTTCTACCAGGCCTTCAGCGACCAGGAAACAAGAGTTGACAAGAGGCCGGGCCCAGAAAGGCCGGGACCTGTTCTTCTCCAAGGACAGCTCAGCCTTCACCTGGTGGGTGGGCAGCCTGCCCACACTCCCAGGCACGGTGTGTTACGCCCTGGCACCTCTCCACCACCTGGTTCCCAACAGTGATCCCAGAACCTGCAGCACTACATCAGCGACTACATCATGGGCAACACCCTCTCCCAGCAATGCAAGGCAGACACCCCATGTCCCCATGGGTCCTACCACAACCCGCGCCAACCCTGCACCTGCGTGTGCCATGAGACCTCACATGTGGACAAGTACTGCTGTGCTAAGGAGAAAGGGATAGGCCAGCTGGTGGTCATGGTCAAACAGGGCAGTGACCTCTGGGGGAACTTTTTCACAGCCACTGACGGCTACGTGGTGGTCAAGTACGGCCAGGAGCAAGCCAGGACCAATGTGATCTGGAACAACAACAACCCCAGGTGGAACACCAAGTTGGACCTGGGCGAGGTCAAGGCCAAGAGCAGACTGAAGCTGATCATTGAGGCCTGGGATCTGGATTGGATCACAGGTGATGACCTCTTGGGCGAGTGCGAAGTCAGACTGACCTCCGGCACCCATGAGAAGGTTTGCTACCTCCGGTATGGCAAGGTGACCTACAATTACACCTTCACCTGTGGCCCCCACCTGGGCAGTGCCAGCTGCCAGGACTATGTGCACCCACCCCCCCCATGGCAGAATGGCCTTCACCTCTTACCTGGGCACTGCCAACCACACCCTCCACCTCAACACAGTCCTATCCACTCACTCCAAATCACCAATGCCCATGATCTACTTCCCCTAACCCTTGCCTGTGTCAGCATCTTGATCAGACACTGTCATTGCTACACCATAGCAGTATTGTGACTCTCATTTAATGTGGGAGGCTTTGTGCCATTAAAATGAAATGCTTTGAAGCTTTTTCCAGACACACAAGCAGTGTAGCACACTGTGATGTGAAGTGACAACTATAAAGAGCATGCTTGTTTCTGTATGCATTTTTATAATCTTACAATTTTCAATAAATTCAGCTCTTTCGCATTTAGCCGGTTTCACGTGATCAGTCTGCCTGGGTGCACTTGTTCGGTGAGTTTGTTGAGTGGAATGAGGCTGTGCGTTGGGATTGTGTGGAACAGGAGTGGGCTGTGTGTGTGTGGCAGGGGTGTGTGAAATTGCAAATGCCAGTATTTTTCTTACAGAATGCTAACAACAAGACCAATTTCTGAACTTTATTTCCCGGAGTATAAACAGAGTGACATGTAGATTCATTAAATCAAATCAGCCCAGATTGTGGGAAATTAAAAACACCTTTCAAACACAGAGATGGTGCTGTCACTCGCCTGAAACACAGCAGTGAGCCAGCCTCTGGGCCACCATGCCCATGCCCACCCCACCAATCCTGATGCCAGCTTGGCCCATCATGATGCCTGCTTTGGTAGAGCAGCTAGCAGCATGGTGAGGGCATGCTGGTGCTCACTGGCAGGGTGAGGATTGTGTGCCCTGGCAGGGTGAAGAGGGAAACCCCACCTCTGTGCCAGCCTGAATCGCACCTGCCCCGTCAGGGCCATCCCACTCCCCCGGTTCAATGGAAGTCTCTCGTCGTAACCTGTGTATTCACGGCAATGGTTAGTGTTAGGTATTGCGTGGGAAATGTGCACTGTATGTGAATAGTGTCCCACTATCGGGTAATGCCACGAGCCCCCCATCCCTCCCTTGCACAGACAGAGGGGAATCTGCTTGTAGGTGCTTCATTGCCCTCCCCCTCCCACTGGCCTCTGTTCCCAGCAGCTTTACCACCTGATGGTGACTTCCCCTGGAATAATTCATTGCCAGTCAACCCCACCCCCCAACCCCCTCACCCTCCAATTCCTGCAACTTCTGGAAGACGTCACAGAGTGTGCGTACTCTCCACAATCCCCCCCCTCAACCCCAGTGGTGTCTGCCCCCCCCGCCCTTACAGCCCCACCCCTGATATCCCGGGGACGGTGTATTGCTGTTGGAGCTGGGCCAATGGCAGCAGGGAACAGGCGGAGGAAAGGGGAGGTGAAGGAATCAGACATCCCTCCCCCATCTCCCATCCCCGTGCGACGCGACAGCCAGAGACCGAGCCCTCTGTCAGATCAGCACGCTGGCCACCGGTAACTTCACTGACCTCCCAGCCTGTGGCACAACAATTGGTTCATCCATCTCCGCTAACTCTGAGAAAGAGACACAGGTACGGGGGAAGGCGGGTGGTGGCGGGGGGGGCGATGGGAGAGAGGGAGCAAGGGAGGGAGAGAGAGGTAGACGGGAGAGAGGGAGCAAGGGAGGGAGAGAAAGCATTAAACACACAAATGCACTTCCGCGCCACGTGCACACACACGCGCATGCGCGCGATGGGCAGAACAGACCCCTCTCCTGAGACAACTCTCTCTACATTTGATTGGACTGGCTTCCCACAGGGGGGTGGTGACAGAATTGACGGTCTCCGCTTCCCAGGAGAGATTACAGAGAGGTCAGGATCAGGGCTCACGGACCACAGAGAAAGTTCGTTGGGGGCAGAGTGATTTGAGCTCACAGATCACAATGAAGGTTCGTTGGGAACAGACTGATTTGAGCTCAGAGATCACAATGAAGGTTCGTTGGGAACAGACTGATTTGAGCTCACAGATCACAGAGAAGGTTCTTTGGGAACGGACTGATTTGAGCTCAGAGCTCACAGTGAAGGTTCGTTGGGGGCAGACTGATTTGATGCTTCTGAGGTTGAGAAAGGGAGTTTTCACCAAGTGGATGAGGAGAGATGTCGCCAGGAGTGTCAGGAAGCAGGGAGGGGATCATGGATTGAGGGTGATTGGTGTGAGACCCGAGGTGGGGGACAAGGATTGAGAGCGATCATTCAGAGACCCAGAGGGTAGGGGGGGCGGGGTGGGAGACACGGTCTGAGGGCGATCAGCAAGAGACCCAGAGGGAGGGACAGACAAGGACTGAGGGCGATCGGTGACAGACTGAGTGGGTGACTGAGGTCTCTGTTACGAATGGGTCCGAGGGGGTGGGAGTCTCTGTACGGGCTCTCTAGTGGAGTGCATATGCAGGACAGTAACAGACTGTGCTCTAACCTCTGTGCTGGCTCTAGTCACCTTTCACTGCTCTGACCTCAGGCTAGAGAATGTGGTGTCTGAGCTGGGACTGTCTACGATTCTGTGCTCCTCAGTCTGTCTCACCTACAATACAACCAAAGCAGACAGCATCACTAAGCTCCATCGGAGAAGGCGGCTCGCCGGGAAGGGGCAGTCACTGCCCCCCC